GTAAAAAAAAACTTTTGTAAATAAACTTTTAAAAAAGAAAAGGAAAAACTCTAACAGAAAAATGGGTAAATACTTGAATAGGCAATTCCAAAATAAAGAATTACAAATGGTCAGTAAGTGTATGTAAAGCTGTTTGACATTAATGATATAACTCAAGAAATGCAAATCAAAACAAGATGCATGAAGCCAATTTGGAAAGCAGTATGGAGATTTCTTGGAAAGCTGGGAATGGAACCACCATTTGACTCAGCTATTCCCCTTCTAGGTCAATTCCCCAAAGACCTAATAAGAGCATGCTACAAGGACACTGCTACATCGATGTTTATAGCAGCACAATTCACGATAGCAAGATTGTGGAACCAACCTAGATGCCCTTCAATAGATGAATGGATAAAAAAAATGTGGCATTTATACACAATGGAGTATTACTCTTCATTAAAAAATGACAAAATCATAGAATTTGGAGGGAAATGGATGGCATTAGAGCAGATTATGCTAAGTGAAGCTAGTCAATTGTTAAAAAACAAATACCAAATGACCCCTTTGATATAAGGGGAGTAAACAAGGACAGGGTAGGGACGAAGAGCTTGAGAAGAAGATTTACATTAAACAGGGATGAGAGGTGGGAGGGGAAAGGGAGTGAGAAGGGAAATCGCATGGAAATGGAAGGCGATCCTCAGGGTTATACAAAATGATATATAAGAGGAGAGGAGGGGTAAGACAAGATAATACAAATGGAAGAAATGATTTACAGTAGAAGGGGTAGAGAGAGAAAAGGGGAGGGGAGGGGAGGGGGGGATAGTAGAGAATAGGACTGACAGCAGAATACATCAGACACTAGAAAGGCAATATGTCAATCAATGGAAGGGTAACTGATGTGATACAGCAATCTGTATACGGGGTAAAGTTGGGAGTTCATAACCCGCTTGAATCAAACTGTGAAATACGATGTATTAAGAACTGTGTAATGTTTTGACGACCAACAATAAAAAAAAAAAAAAACAACAAGATGCAATTTTCCCCTGTGAAACTGACAAAAAATGGAAAATACCAAAAGTCATATATATATTTTTTGGTATGCCTGAAATAACTCATAATTAATAATTATATATTTTCAATATAAAAGAAAATACCAAATTTGGTAAGAATGACTACTTTCATATACTTTTTGTAGGAAGGTAAATTTGGTATAAACTCTGAAGGGAAACTACAATATTTATTAGAATTCAAAATAAAAGTTGTGATTATTTGTTTATTCTTTATCCACTTTTCTGAAAAACATTATTTAAGGGAAAACACACATAATTACAACAATAATAAACTTCTGATAATAGCTAATATACTTATGTTTGCACAAGAACAGAGAGATATACGTACAAAAATATTTACTGGAACACTGCTGCAAACAAATAAGAAATATACCTAACTGTCCACCAAGAGATGAATATTAAGTAAATTATGGCATCTCTATATAATGGAATGATATGAGTCTATAAAAGGTCAATTTTATATTAGCATATACTGATATGCTAATATATATGAATTAAGACAGAATGACAATTATCTACACACTAATTCAACTTGAACCAAACACAAAATTGTGTGTAGACCTGCACAGGATGCATCAGCTAGAAGAAACTGAATATACATTTGAACTGTTTAAAATTTCTTACCATAACCATGCTACTTTAAAATAATTCAAAAGCAAACAAAGTTTGTAGCCCTCTGTCTATCCACGGCCTTAAAAATACTGAAGACTCCTAAACTTCAGTTATGATCTAGACCTTCTTTTCTAGCTCTGGGATCAAACTGACAATGGACATCTACATGTAGGCACAAATACTTTTTATTGAAAATCAAATTATCCCAAATAAAGAATATTAAGAGAAAGTAATGGTCTACATATTGGACAAGGACCTGAATTCTGATATTTTCTCTCTCTTTTTTGAAGGAAGATACTTATTCTTTAGTTATCAAATGAGCTAAACAGACAGTAAGGCTGATTTTCATTTGCAGAAGAAAAGGAGTGTTTCAGGATCTGCTCTAGCTGATTAATGGTCATTGCTGTTATGAATGGAGGGGTAGCCTGAAGAATTAATAACCAGATTTGATTTTCTTGAGATGTATTACTGATGTAAATGAGATGATGAGAATAATGTGATCAGATCACTATATAGAATAGTTCACAGTATTAAGTAACTTGAACACTTGAAGTCTATTTAAAAAGCTGTAGTAGTCATGAACCAGAATTGCCAGTGGTTATAAATAAGTCTTTGCCTGACACAGTAACAAAACTTAAACCAAAATAAAAACATTAGGAAGAGACAGTGATCTGAAAAGGAAAACACAGCAATCCATAGGGAAAACTAAGAAATGGTCAACTTGCATAAGCAAAGAAAATGTACTTCAATAATAATCTGAGAAATGCATACTAAAATCATAATTAAATACCATTATTTTCCATCCTTTAAATTGACAATAATTTAAAAAGGTAATAAGTTCAATCCCCAGTAATGCAAAAAAAAAAAAATTTTTTTTTTCTTCAAAGGCTTATTCTTCAGAAAGTTTTCTATATCCTAAGGAATGAGTACACTCTGGACAATGAGAAGCTTACCACAGTTTAAAATTTGATCAAATTCTTTGATCAATTTTGTAGGGTTCCATAGTCCTAAGCCTTGTGTGATGATTTCCTTTGTCATTAAGAACAGTTTGTGTAACTAATAAAGATTTACTTCATTCTTCCACATATTACGGCTAAATGTAGTTAGTCTGCTTCTTCCAGACTAACTAAATGATCTTTGACAGCTGAAGGCACTTCTTGCCATCTTTATAACTCACAAATGATTACAGAGGGCTTTACATAGAACAAGTACTCAATGAATGCTGACATAACTTTAAAGGAGATAGCAATTTGAATGTCACAACTCTAATAAATTTTTAATATTTCCTTAATATATTTTAACTTCTTAAAAGTGATTATCAGAATTTTTTTACATTTTATATAATAGATTGTTTACTTAAAACTCATACTTCCTGTAAACACAATTGTGTCATTTTATGTCATAATTTCATAAGGCAGATTTTGTTGATTGTGTAAAAATACTCAAGAATTCTTTAGAAATTATTTAAATGCAAAGTCAATATTTTTAAGAAAGAATAATATTATTAAACTCAAAGTAAATTTCTAAAACATCATGACAGAATTTTCCTAAAAAAAAAAAATTATGTGGGGAAAAGTATGTGTATGTGTAATGTCAATGAGGTAACAGAAAAATTAGCTTACAACTATAGAATTTCCTCATCTTGAAAAATGAGTTGTTAAGACCACTTCCATGGCAAGAAGTACTCATACCATTACTACTGACAGTTTCATATGATTTAGTGTCCCAGATAAGCCAAACTAAAAATAACCTCTGTTTTCCTTGTTCAATTCCCTCTTTTTTTTTCCATTGTAAATGTACATTTGAAACCAAACAACTCAGAATCATAAACAGCTTACTACGTAAAGGACTGGCTTTGTTTGTTTTAAATCAGTAAAATTCAGAGTACATTTGGGTGCTAATTTCTTAACTGTTCAAATTGTATTCATAAAAATGTGCTAGCAAATTCATAACAAATTTAGAGTTAATAAAAGGCTTAAAGAACATAATTTTAGTTGTCTTTTCTTTCTTAAATTGTATTACTTTTAGCAGTCATCAGGCCTTTTTTGTTCATTTGCAATTAGTTCAGTGACTAAAAATGTCATAGCAAAATCAGATCATAAGCCTTTGAAAACTGGAGACAAAAAATGGGGAGAAGAAAAAATAAAGGATTTATCTTTGCCTGTCACACTGTACACTATATATGTACACTGACTGAAGATCATGGTGGTAGTTTTTTCTTTTGTTTTTAAATAGGAAACACCAACTAATAATATATACAGAAAAGTGACATATCTAGTGTGCAACAATTTTGCAACTCCTGTTGAAATAATGGACCTGAGAAAACTTATCATAGCTGCTAAAATGATTAAGGAGCAGTATAGTAGACGACCCATGCTGAGCAAACCCTAAGCTAGAGAACAATTTTACACTATAAAAGAAAAGTTAAATGATCAGTCTCCATAATGAGCTGAAACACACAGCAACACACTGGAAGTATTCCTGACCACTACTCCTGCCTGTTGATCCTACAAAGCTGGATTCTGGTTAAGGTTCTAAATCTAAACACTAAGAACAGAAGCCAGAGTAACATGCTAATATCATGAGGATACAATGAGGAAAATCCAGACACAGATAATTTTTTTTTTTTTTTTGTCTGTTGTGAGTCCTGTTTAGCTCCTGGTTTGATAAAAACAAGTGAGATATTTTGAATAATGACAGGATATTTGATGATACTAAACTTTATTTTTTAATTTTTTAGGTTTCAAAATGATTTTTTTTGGTGGCTACAGAGATACAGAGAGTGAAGTATGTATAAATGAAATTATATGTTTGGATTTTGTTTAAAATTATCTGGGGTGGAGAGTCTTGTGTGGATGGGTACAGAAATGAAACATGATTGGCATTCATAACTAAGATATCATTTATAACTAAGCTAGGGAATAAAGTTTGCATATATTTATATTATTTTGCCTACTATTCTATGTTAAAATTTTTCCATGTTGAAAAGTTTTTTTAAAAAAATTGTTTTGGAGTACATAAACTAAATATTTTTCTTTAGCATTAGTCAAAGACTTTTAAAAATAAAGGAAAGAAACATCAGGCAACATGACAAAATTATCATGAATTCATAAAATGGGAGAATTCAAATTTTGAGGTGGATAACAAACAACAACAATAAAATAACTACAAACTTATTTATTATATTCAGTACTGTTTTTAAGTTTCAAATGATTTCTTATAAACTTTTAACAGTCGGGTCTTAACATTCAGTCCACAAACAAGTGAATAAAAGAATAAGTAAAATCTGTAATTCTTAGGCAGTTTAAATTACATATTTCACATTTATGTGCAACTTACCTGCTGTAAAATCTTCAGTCAGATCAATAAATGCATGAGAATGTGGAATTCGCATTTTACTTTTAGTGGTCAAAGCAGGATGCCATGATAAATTTCTAAAATATAAAATAAAAATAACTTTTTTAAGGTAAACATCAAATGAGTTTTGCTCAAGTAGAAAAATCTCCCTGCATGCCAAACATTTTAAGATTATTTGTTTTTATTGAGATATTGTTATTGTTTGGATGGGAGGTGTCCTCCCAAAGCTTACATGTGGCACAATGCAAATAGGCTCAGAGAAGAAATGATTGGATTCCGAGAGTCTTAACCGAACTGGTGAATTCATCACCTTATAGGATTAATTGAATGGTAAAAGAAGGAAGGTGAGTTGTTGCAGGAGGAGGTAGAGCATGGGGGGGTGTGTGGCTTTGGGGTATATATTTTGTATCTGGCCAGGGGAGTCTACCATGTGATTTGCTTCTCTCTGCTACATTTTTCTGCCATGATATTCAGCCTCACCTTGAGCCTCCAAGGAATGGAGTCTCTTGTCTATGGACTGAGACCTCTGAAACTGTGAACCCTCAAATAAACTTTCCCACCTCTACAGTTTTTCTAGTTGGGTTCTTTTAGTCACAGCAGCAAAAAAGCTAACTAAAACAGAAAGTGGCACCAGATATTGGTTGTTGATGTGACCATCCTGACCATGTAGCTCATAAGCTTTTAGAGCATTTTGGAATTGGTTGGAGGAATTTTGAGGTGTTTAAAAGGGCAAGGTGGAAATGCTTTAGACTGTTGTAAGCAGAGTTTAATGGCTGATTCTCATGGGAGCTCAGAAGACCAGACTGCCAATGGGATAGTGAGCAGTGAAAACAGGGCTCAAGAGGGTTCATAGAAGACCTCCACTGGAATTTGGAATAGAGGTCATTTGTGTTATGTTCTGGCTGAAAAACTGTCTGCATTTTGCCCATGATTTGAGACTTTCTGTGAGGATAATTTTAAAAGTGAAGGACTTCTTAATCTGGTGAAAGTAATTTCTAGATAGCATAGCGTTCAGGCGGTGACATGGATATTGCTGGTGGGTATAAGACAAATTTATTGTAATAATCAGGAGCAGAAAGCAAAGCAGAAATATTTGAAAAACTTGGACTTGAAATGTGGGAATAAAACTGGGACTCAGGGGCTGGGGTTACAGCTCAGTGATAGAGTGCTTGCCTCATATGTGTGAGCCCCTGGATTCAATCAGCAGCAACACATTAAAAAAATAAATATTTGTTTGGAAGATCTATCCAGTGGTGAGAGAGATATGTTAAAGTCACCCAAGATTACTTGTGTTGTGGTCAATTTGACTTTTGAACTTGTGAAGAGTTTGTTTGATGAATGTAGATGCTCCATTGTTTGTGTATATGTAATATTTATAATTGTTGTCTTTTTGATGTGTGGTTGCATTATGGCATTTGCAGGTATATGGATGGCACTGGAGAAGATAATGCTAAGTGAAGTTAGCCAACACCAAAAAAACAAATGCCGAATGTTTTCTCTGATATAAGGAGGCTGATTCATAGTGGGGTAGGAAGGGGGAGCATGGGAGGAATAGATGAACTCTAGATAGGGCAGAGGGGTGGGAGGTTAAGGGAGGGGGCAGGGGCTTAACAAGGATGGTGGAATGTAACAGACATCATTATTCAAAGTACATGTATGAAGACACAAATTAGTGTCAACATACTTTATATACAAACAGAGATAATAAAAATTGTGTTCTATATGTGTAATAAGAATTGTAATGCATTCCATGGTCATTTTTTAAAAAATCAATAAAAAATAAAGAATATATCATGTCCACCTTCAACTCAAAAAAATATTTAAAAAAATTGGGCTAAGGAAGTTGCAGTTGTTAAAGACATTACTGCTACTAAAGGAATGCTAAAGACTGCCCAGATACAATAAGAAAGATGGTTTGAGGGCATCTCAGGAGTTGGCAAGACAATACGCATTTCAAGCTCAAGGGAATAAAAGTAAAAATTCTCTTGAGAAGAGATCAGTGGGGCGCACTTCTTGCACAAGAGTGCCTAGGATGTTTTTTCAACAAGTTCAGCTACCTAGGTACTGAGAGGCTCTGTAACTAGGGTCCCCAGAAGCTTGGAAACTGCTCGAAATTGTGGCAGATCTTAGCATCAACCAGGTGATGCTGATTCTTCAGGAATGCAGGATGCTGGACTTAGGGGGTCATGGAGGCTTCTACCATGATTTCAAGGGAGGGCCTGGCAGGCCAGACAAAGCACAGCAGGGTCAGAGTCCCTGGGGGCACCCCTGAGAGGGCAACATATGGAGATGTGGAGGAAGCTGAAGCTGCAGTGCAGATCTGAGATTAAGAAATGCCAGTGGTGAGGGACATCATCCTAGGAAAGTTTCAGGATTTGAGCAGAGACAAGCCAACAAAAAGGCCACTTTGAATGCAACCAGTAAAGCCACATGGGCGAATCTACACAAGCCCTTTGGAGAGAACATCATGAGGCCCTGTGCTTCAGATGCCAGACACAGACATGTTTGCCCAGCTGGATTTCAGTCTTGTTTTGGTCCTATGCATTCTTTCTATGTCCTATTTTTCTGAATGGGAATTTTTTTCTGTGCCATTATACATTGGATACTTGTAAACTGTTTTTAATTTTACAGGAGTTCACACTGTAAGATTTCCTTGCATATCAGAGAAGTCTTTGGACTTGAAATTTGAGCAATCTTGGAACAGTTTAGACTATAGGGACTCTTGGGAATGGACTAAATGTATTTTGCAAAGTCAGATAAGTATGAGCTTTTGGTGGCCAGTGGCGGAATGTTATGGTTTGGAAGTGATATGTCAAAAGCTCACATATAAGATAGTGGAAGAAGGTTCAGGGAGGAAATAATTGGGTTACCAGTTCGTAAACCTAAATGAAGGCAGGGTGTGTGTGGCTAGAGGAGGTGGGGCATTGGGGGTATGGCTTGGGTAATATATTTGTCTTTGGCAAGTCAAGATTTCAGCTGCCTGAAATCTTGTGATCATCATGTGAGCTGCTTTCCTTTGCCATACACTTCCTGCTATGATGTCCTGTGTTACCTTGAGCCCCAAGGAATGGAGCCAGCCACTTATGGACTGAGACCTCTGAACCCTAAATAAAGACCCTAAATGAACCTTTCCTCCTCTATAAGTTGTTCTGGTTGGGTTTTTCAGTCCCAGTAGTCACAAAGGTAACTAAAATATATATATATAAACTTTTTGTTCTTTTAAAGTATACAAGTCAGTGGTTTTTAACATATTCACTATATTACTCTCTAATTTAAAAACATTTCCATCACCTCCAAAAGAAACCCCCTACACTTTATGTACTCTCTATTTTCCTTTCTTCTAGCTCCTGACAACCACTAATCTGCTTTTTATTTCTATGCATTTCCCTATTTGGGATATTTCATATAAGTAAATGATACAATATGGCATTTTGTGTCTGGCTTCTCTCATTTAGAATAATGTTTTCAAGTTCATCAGTGTTGAAATATGTGTGAGTCCTTTTATGTTGGACAATATTGTATGATTATCTGCATATGTTTATTCATTCATGTGTCAAAGGACATTGGCTTGATTCCACTATTTTTCTGCTATTAACGTTCATGTCCAAGTATTCATGGAGATATATGATTTCAACTCTTTTCAGTATCAGGAATGGAATGCCTGGGCTATAAGGCAATTAACTGTATGTTTGACTTTTTGAACACTTTTCCAAAGTGGTTTCACTATCTGAGATTCCTGCAAGCAATGTAAGTGGGTGTTAATATCTCCATATGTTCGTTAAATTGTTATCATTCTTATTTGTATTTTCCTGAAGTACAACGATGCTGAGCATGTTTTCATGTGCTTTTTGGATATATGTATATCTTCTTTGGAAAACTATCTATTCATATCCTTAACCCATTTAAAAATTATATTATATATTGCTTTAATATTGAGTTGTGAGTGTTCTTTATATAATTTGGATACTAGATTTTTATCTATTTCTTAATTTACAGTATTTTCCTCTCTGTGGGTGGTCTTTCATTTTCTTGATAGTGACCTTTAAAGTCAAGTTTTTACTTTTGATGAGGTCCAATTCATCTATTCTATTTTCTTCTTATTATTTTTTGGTACCATATTTAATGATTTACTATGTAATGATGCAAGGTTATAAAGATTTACGTGTTCTAAGAGTTTTATGGTTTCAACTCTTTTGTCTTTAATTTTTATTTTAAGAATAAAAAAGCAAATGTTTTAATGTCACAGATGATTTTTTAAGACTGTGGAAAATGACAACGATTCTCTTTAATATATATTAATTCACAGTTTTAGACCATGCAAAAGAATTTATTGATGTGTACCTCACAGTATATGAAAAATATTAACTCAAAAACATATTAAAAAGCTAAAATCATAGAAGCTAAAACGTAGGAGAAAACATAGAGGGTACATCTTAATAACCTTATATTTAGCATTGAGTTCATAGATATGACACCAAAAAAGTTAAAAACAAAAAAAAAGAAGAACCTGAACCATTCAAAATTAAAAATCTTGTGGAAAGGACACATCAAGAAAGTGAAAACAACAACAACAACAACAACAACAACAAAAACACCCACAGAATAGGAAAATACATTTGGAAATCCTATCTTTGTAAAAGTCTAATATTCAGAGTAAAGAGTACTACTCAAGTACCAGAAGACCTAATTTAAAAATGGACAAAGGTAGAGCAATAGGCAAGAGAAGGAAATGAAAATGGACAAAAATAGAAAAGAAGAAGTCAAATTATCACTATTTATAGATAATATGATCCTATACTTAGAAGATCCAAAAAGCTCCACCAGAAGATTGTTAGAAATAATAAACAAATTCAGCAAAGTAGCAGGTACAAAATCAACATGCAAAAATCCATGGATTTTCTTACAACAATGATGAATCTGGTGAGAAAGAAATCACAAAAATAACTGCATTCACAATAGCCTCAAAAAGTAAATTGAAAGACCTCTACAAGTGAAAATTATAAACTATTGTAGAAAGAAATTAAAGAGGACCTCAGAAGATAGAAAGACCTACCATGTTCATGGATAGACACAATTA